GAGCTATTTCTATATAGATCTACACTTACATATGCATCTTTTTTTTTTTTTAATCTCTGTTTGAAGAAATATAGTTTGTTCCTCAGATAGATTTTTCAAGCTGTCCCACCTTTTTTTTTTTGTTAGTTTTGTCACTCACAGTAGTTCTTTCTCCCTTCTTCCCCTTCCAGGGACATGTCAAACTTGTTAACATTTGAAAAAATGCCGGAAAATACTGGAAAATTTGCAGGTGTTCAGTAAATGTGAGTTTGTTGCAGAACATGTTGGCAAATTAAATCTCTCAGTTTAGATGGTATGCACCCTAGTCCTATTCGCCATCCAAATATCTAGTTTTAATGAGAACTATCATATTCAGAACTGAATATATTTTTTTCCCAAGCGTTCTAAAATACTGCTTTTTCCTGACAGCTGCTGGCAGACAACAGAGCCTCTTTTTACCTCAGAAAGGCTATTTAGTTTCATCTCCACAATGATGAGATTTCTGTTAGTTTGTCCTCCGTGTTCCTAGCTAAATTTTGAAACCACTCCTTCACCAAACTAATATAATAGTAGACAATAATAATAAAACAGAACCATTCACCATTAATATGCCATTGCCAGTCTCTTGTTAAGACTCAGTTGGCTAGGGCTGAACCCAGTGATCCTGCGCTGATGCACTATGCCCACGAGCAATTCCTGAGTAAAGACTATGGGACAGCAAATTGAGACCTATGTGCTACAGTGAATTTTTTGTGGGTGCGTGCCTGTACCTGTATCGAGGCCCACTGAAGTCAGCGTGACTGTGAGCCCAGCTTGAAGCCTGCCTGTGCAGGGCTAATCGCAGGGCTGCGGCACTGATGAGAAATACAGTGAAAGCTGCAGTAAGGACCAGGCGTCTTCACAGACCCCTTGCTTAGGTGACTGTTTACATGTGTCTTGAAATTTTGTAAGACAAACTTGTTTCACTTTCCTTAAATCTACCTCTACTCCACAAACAAGTTTTGCTTGTGCTTTGGATAGTCTCTTAGGACAGGTTTCACTGTGTAAATCTGTGTGCATGTACATAAGCTGTCTTCAGCTCTCACGATAAGCAAGTATCTTCTGTGCAGAGGGGCAACGGTTACAAAAAGGATATTCATTATCATAATAAATACAGAGAGAGCAGAAGACAATGTCCTTGTCCCTCACTTTTTAATAGAAGAGTATAACTATATAAGCTGAGAGCCACATTGCATACCAGATGAAACCTGCCATCTCCGCTATTCGAAATACAGTTCTCATTCCTTTTCCTTTAATCATCTAGAACATTATTTTTAACCCTCAAGAAGGAATTTCTTGAAAGTCTGTGTTTGGTTTGTATCTATTATTCCACAGGTTCTTTGGCAGCTGATGGCTTGGTTTCATCACTTATAGAACTGAAACTTCGTTCTAACATTTTGTTGGTTTTTGTCTTAAATTATGGCGTGCAGAAGGACAGCCTTCACCTGCTATATTTAAAAAAAAAAGATACTGTCTCTTTAATGAAAGAAAAGCGTCAATATAACGTATTACCAAATGCAAATGCAATAAGGAATAACATATAGCTCTGGTTATGTTATATGACATTTGGCTTAGCAGTATTAACATATTGCACAAAATCTGGATTTTCCCTATTGCAGAAAATAAGACGATAAAAGACATGGGAAATTTCTCTCTTCTGTATGATCATAAAATAAATATTATTCTATTTTTTTCTTTTTCTTCTCATCAGTCATTTCCAGAAATGTTTTAGTATTATTTCTTTGTTAAGCCAGCTCTTTATCATGTATGTATTAGGCATACAGTACAAGGAGAAATGGAACAAGATGGCAGTTATAGCAGTGGCAAGATGCAAATTTATTCTGGCAAAAAAGTAATATGTGCACAATATCAAGCATGCTTAAGTTTGTGCCAGGAAAACTATTACGAATGAGGAATGGATGGAATGGAATTTTGTATCATACATGATTACGTGTTGCTTAACTTCATAGAAGAGTCTTTGTCTACTCCTGATGTCCCAGGTGCCACCAAAAGAAGCTCCATACCACACTGCTGGAGTGAAAATGGCAACAGATACCCCAGCAGTAGTCACCTCTGTAGCATGACTCTTTTTGTTTCAAAAATTAAAGAAATAGACCTCAAAAAGATGACAGAGAAAATTCACAGACCATTGAACTGCAGTCACTGACTCCAGGTGGTGAGAGGGGGAGGAATTTATTACATCTTGTACTTGTGTAATAATTGAAAGTCTGTAATTGTTTTCTGCTTTGTTTTGCCCAAGTTTAATTTGGCTACTTTATGCATGTGATGGTGTTGTCACTGCTTTTCCTCATGTCTCTCTCATATTGTATTACATGTGACTGAATATAGCCAAGCATTGGAGGAGTCATATTTTTCACTGACACCACTTGAAAACATTTTTATAGAAAAATAAGGGATGAAGGATGAAGAAGAGCAGGAGAGAAGAAAGAAAATGCCTTAAAGGTAGCTCCCTACATTAATTCACCATGAGGCAAAACAGAAATAATAACTCTTCTTCATGTGCCAATTCAATTGGGATGAACCAGACTTCCTACTGTATTGGTACAGTGTAAAAATAGATGACAGTGAGTAATGGTGTGAACAAAAAACTATGAGGAACGTCACAGAAATGGATGTTGGATGGCCTTTGCACAGCAGAGGTAGATAAAGGTTATAACAAACTGTTTACTGACCATGTACACTTACTAGAATTAAGAGGTCAGTTGAACAAGAGCTCACCTAGTAAGAGCTTTCTCAGTAGCGTGACTCATCAGCTGTTGTACAGTACCAGAGCACTGCCCAGTTATTGCTCCATCACTTTTCAATAACATCTCTGTCCTTTTCAAAAGTCTACATTCTACCATTAGTTAAGGCTTTTTCATTTGCATTTCTACATTTTTCCCCACTTTTTGCATCAATTCAATGTAATTGATACATGTGCCTCTAACAGAAAATAAAATAACTAAAAAGCACCATGTTTTATTGAACAAAATATAGCATGTGCAAGGAAAGGAAGGGAGGAGTTATAGAAACAAACCAGTGCTGAAGAATTTTGCATTAGCTGGTGCTTTTTGTTGTTGTCATATTTGCACAGATCATTTTAGGCTCCTCAGTCCAGGTTGTAGTAAAAGACTATCAAAACAAATACTCTTGCAAAATATTTGAGCTTTCGCAGCTTAACATGTGCATCTTGAACTGCTTAAGCAGTATGGTTATCTTCTTTTTGTTTTTCTCCAGAATTTAACAGACCATAAAGTGTATACAAAAACGCATTATGCACCAGTGATCAAATGTTCTTACAACATTAATATTTATCAAGGGGTATTTCATAGCTAGAAAGTAGATAACTATATTTTATTTCCTAAGAGAACATTTCCTATAGTTTTCCTTCATCTCCCAGCTACACAGCAAACATCTCTAAAGTGCACTTCCCAAGTGTAGTTAGAGAATAGGAAGGAATGTAAAGTTTTTAAAAACAGCCCTTATTAACTTTTCCTTCCATTGATTCTACTGTAAACTCTAAAAAGCCTTTTTAAAAAGCAAATTCTCATACACTCAGCAGGTGAAATGTTCCCACAAAAATAAAAGTAAACAAATTAAAGACCACCCCGAACAATGAAAAATCATCAATCAGATTACAATCTTTTCTCTTGACTATTCATCTCCTAGTATAACTTTACTGTTTTATTGCACATTTATGAAAACGGTTGTCCTATATATTTAAAACAAAATAGTTTCTTTGTCTGTGCTAACACATTCTTGTGCACCCTTAATAACTAGAGTAACTTTCAACAACACGTAGATATTAGAAAAACAATGGAATCAAAACCAAAAAGATACTTTGTATTATAGATGCTCAAAGGCTTCTAGTGTAATTTTGTTGAGACAAAAAGACTTCAATTTTGGAAGCTCTTTGCTCCCATTCCTTATGGAAAGCCTGCTGGTTATGTGACAGCTGGAGAACTCAAAACGTAATTCACAATGAATGCCAATCCTTCACCTCCAATATGAAGGCTTCCCCACTACTCAACTTGCTGAGCGTAACTGGTTTTACATAGCACATCTAAAACAGGCTGCTCCTGTTCAACTGACCAGTGAGAAAGGACTGGACTTCTTCAAAACGGGTATTGGAGCAACAGTTTGTTATATATTTCTTTAAATTTTTACCTGTCCAATCCCACCTTGTAAGGAGAGCACTTGTTTGTTCAGCTAAAAGGAACCCCCTTCATGCTCCTTTTGGGTTTGCTCAGTCAACTGGTTTGTGCAACAGTGGCAGAGGCACACTGGAATTGTGTACCCATTCATTGTGATTACACAGACAGAAGCAAATGTACGTTGTCTGCGACGGGATGTGGGAGGGGAAAGGAGATGAATGGTTCCCATGGGTAAGAGGACAGTTAGGTTGGTTTGGGTTTTTTTGTGGTTGCTTTTTTTTTTTGCCTTTTTTTTTTTCTTGTTAAATTTTGTTTTGTTGTTCTTTTTGTGTTTTTTTTTTGTTTTTTTTTCTTTTTTTGTTTTTTGGTTTTTTTGGGTTTTTTTTTTTTTTTTTTGCTATGTCATGGAATCATAGCAGTCATTCCTCTAATAGAAACTGACAGGACATAAAAGACAGAACTATCAGATGAACACACACAATGACTAGAAATATATTGACAGAGAAAAGACTTAATTTAGCTTTGAGAAACCGTCCCAAAAATAAAATCCTGTATTAACAAGTGCAAAAAACAAACAAAAAAGAAACTCCAAACATTAAAACACAGTGTATAAAATGGTGTGAGAAATTTAAGTCACCATACAGCCTTTTAGTCAATAAAAAGCTGTGTTCATGTGTCCTTGTTGTTTGGGTAATGGCCCGTTCTTTTCGTTTTACCCAAAAGGTCATTCAAGAAGAGATCTAAGGGTAAAGCACTCAGTCCTTGCTATTTTTGACTGTAGTCATTTGGGCCTGTTGTGTTTCTATCATATAAGATGAATCCTTTCTTTTATTCCTCATTGGTTGAATTATCTTCCAAAGTTGTTATGCCTCCAAAACCCAGTCCTGTTGAGTTCTGTGCTGCTGAGACTGTAAGTACTGTATGCAAGAGAATCAATACAAGAACACACAGTTTAAGTCTGCTGTTACACAGTCTTGATGCTGATGAAACTGTGAGCGATGTCCTGTGACACATTGTTGAGCCACTTGTTTTTATAGTCCCTTTGGATTGATGATCTGATAATAGTCCCCATCTGACATCACAGCATTCTGGTTCTGCATTGGTTGGATAGTTTTCGTAGAGCCCTGTAGGGTAAACAGAAGAAAAAATAAACACCAGGCACAAAAAGATTGGCAGAAGTTGGTAGGTCAAGGGAAGAGTTGACAGTTTTGTCTAAGCTACCAAATCCACATCTCTGAGTTATCCTGAGCCCTCAAAACGCTTCTGTTTTGTATAATTGGAGTTGTTGAAGGGATATGCATTGTCTAAAGGAAGCAGCATCAAAAGATCATTCAACAGAGGTATGACACTGAGCACGGTGATGTAAAGAAATGGCATTAAAAAGTAATTGTTGATGTTTGAATGATAAGAATATTTGAATTCTTTCTTTTTGGGAAGTTACAACTAACAATGAAGTTACAACTAATCAAACTGGATATCTCCACAAAATTTGAAACAATATTGAAATTCTTCCTCAGTCTGAGAGTGCATACCAGTAATACTACCGCCTGTGAAAAGATAGGCATTAAATACAAATAATTGATATACTGACAATATTGACAATATTGATTGTCAAACCAATACAGACCCAACAACTTCACAGGAACAGCTTCTGAACAGAGCTGTTCGGAATCTACCTGTTTACCCTACCTCAGATGTGTTCTTCCAGCTGGAATGTTCTCTTTGGCATATCCCAGATATGAGAACAATCTTGCCATTACTGGATCTCTTGATATTTCTGACTATACATCTAGGATATTTCTGCGTCTAGAGCTTTATTGAGTTACTCAGCCTGATCTGATTATGAATTTTTGAACAATTAGAGGAATTCTGTCTTTTCCAAAAGACACAACTGCCTTTTTGAATATTGTTAATACTGTCTGCATTAATATATAGGAGACTAACATAACCAGAGTGCTTTGTTTACTTCTCACATATCTTTTCTGATAAATTAAAAGAACCTAATTTAGCCTGTTTAACTAATGGTCAAATGCAAGAATGTCTAATATAATGCGCAAACACCCTTTCTCCATTTAAATTGATTTTGGAATAAATTTTGCAGTAAATAATTACTCTTTCCTAGTGCTAGGTTTTACTAGAAAAAAAAAAACTATCTGTGTTGAAATGTTAGGATAAAGTCTTTGAAAGCAGCTATAATTTATAAATGTTCTGGGTTTGGCTGGGACAGAGTTAATTTTCTTCCTAGTAGCTGGTATAGTGCTATGTTTTGAAGTCAGTATGAGAATAATGTTGATAGCACACTGATGTTTTCATTGTTGCTGAGCAGGGCTTACACCAATCAAGGACTTTTCAGCTGCCCCTGCTCTGCCAGGTGCACAAGAAGCTGGGAGGGGGCACAACCAGGACAACCGACCCCAACTGGCCAAAGGGATATTCCAGACCATACGAGGTCATGCCCAGTATAGAAACTGGGGGAAGAAGAAGGAAGGGGGGACATTTGGAGCGATGGTATTTGCCTTCCCAAGTCACCGTTACGCATGATGGAGCCCTGCTTTCCTGGGGATGGCTGAACACCTGCCTGCCGGTGGGTAGCAGGGAATGAATTCCTTGCTTTGCTTTGCTTGCATGCACATTTTTTGCTTTACCTATTAATCTGTCTCAGCCCACAAGTTTTCTCACTTTTACTGTTCCAATTGTCTCCTGTGTCCCACTGGAGGGGAGCGAGAGAGAGGCTGGGGTGGGGCTGAGTTGCTGGCTGGGGTTAAACCATGACAATAAACTAAATTCACTTCTTGGAACAAGAATTACGACATGTCTAAAGTATCACAGCAACGATGCTACTTTCAAAAAGCAATGCCTACAAGTTTAGGTGTAACATTCTTAGGTTCAGGCACCAGACTGCCTGTAATTTTTTAATAACCTGTAAAGAAAAGCAGCACACCTTAAAATAAGATAAAACTGAACTTTTTAGTTCCTATTTCCATAATATTGATCTGCAACTAAACCAAAAGTGCATTAGGTATTCTGGGCATGTAAAATGCAGATTAAACCTAGACTAGCACATATTTACATAGCTGACACAACATTCTACTATGTTACACGAGTCCAAATAAAGTTACATCTATTTTTGGACTGAAACAAGTTTTTAAGGATGCAGGAATGAGAACAGCTTGTTTGATTTTCTGTAAAGTCAGGGTTTACTCTGTAGGAAATCAGGCCATTTTTGCACCTACACAGTCAGATACTTAAGGCAGCATACCAACACTTGAAAATACTTGTTCTCTCTCAGATCATCACTGAATGTACTTCACATTTTTTAAGAATTTCTGTTGCATTTTGGAACATTTTGGACAGTCGTTTATCGCAAGTATAATAAAGCAATCTTAACTGCTAACATATTTTCTGAGACTCATCTTTTGGTGTTTGTGTGCATAAGTGTGTTTTTAAACATGGTAACATACAGGAAGTGCCTCCCAAAGCAGGTAATTATACGATCTGTTCTGTGACTGCAGTAGTTCAAACTATTAGTGGTAATTGAAGAGACACAGAGAATGGTTAATGCTTTGATCCCACTGAGGCTTGTTTACTATTCAAACTGTATTTCCTGCCTTTCTTGTTATAGGAAAACTCAGACTTCCTTTGAAATCAAAGCCTATATATACAAGTTGGCAATCAAAAGGTTTTTAAATAGTTTATATACACTTACTGAATTATAAATAAGTTGAAGGCAACTCCACATTCAAAGCTCTGTTGAACTCATTCCTTAATGCAAAATTACATTTCCTCTTTATTTCAGTTCAGCAATTGAATTTAGATTTTGAATTTGCAGTTACATATTTAATAATCAATTAACTACGGAACCACTATTCATATGACAGTTGCAGAACATTTAGATAAATTCAGTGAGAGCTTTTGCACTGAAGTAATAAAACTTCACAATTGTGCTTCACCATATAGTTGTTTGTAGCCGTGAATATCAGTCTTGGCCCCTTGGATCTAATCAGTCAGTCTACTCAGTCAGAGGGTTACAAACCCATGACTTACCAGAAACCCTGGAAAGCTGGCTACATCAGTGTTGGAAAACCATGGAGAAAAAAACCCTATTTTGTCCTTTTAAGGAAATATTTTGTATAGACACAGAATTTGGGATAAGGAATAGAAAGGATATGTTTACCCACCAAACCACCAAGGCTTCCCTCTTCCTCTTCTGTCTTTATCGTTGAGTTTGTAGACATCATTACTCTGTATTACTTGGATGTTCAGTAATCGTATTTCTGAGAACAACTTACTAACTGTTACTGACTCAAAACCTACTTTGCTTTTCACTTTTCACTTAAAATTCTCAGCTCTGGATCTTCATTTCCCAACTTCTCACAGCACTCACCTATGTTTCATCAGCTGAAATCTTAGTCCATATGGAGGTTCTTGGACCTTGATCTTAATCAAGGATCTAGAATTTGCCAGGATTCTTTTTGGCATCAAACCATTCTCCAGACAGATATGCTATTGCTCATGAAGGTCATGTAAAAGCTATCTTTTTGCTTTGTAACTGGATATTTTTTTTTCACACACAGATAACATTTTGATGATTAGCACAGCAGTTATATCTGTAGGGAGCGTGTGTTACCAATGCTGACGCAAGAACTAAGGCTACTCATTTGACTGAGATTATGTTAATGGAGACATGACTGTAGATAAATCCCATGTATCCTGCTCAGCTGAATCATACTGAAGGAAAACGGAGTGAGCATCATATTTACTTTGTGCAGAAGCAGCTTTGAAGCAAAAGCAGCAAACTGCAAATATGTTCTTATACAAGAATTAAAATCATGAAGACTGCCTATGTATACATGGTCTGCTGATCAGCTAGATCACCAGCTAACTCAGAGAATGGTGTCATTTCTGCCTGAACACTTGCATTTCTTTCGCACAGGAACCAGCAAGCAAAAGAGGTGGTTGCATGTCCACATCTCACCGCAACACTGTCAGGATGTGTCATACTTGTGGGTCTGGATTTTTAGCAGTTGGTCTGGCTTGGCTCACTTCTTGGTTTCTTGACTATGGAAAGAGCTATGGACCCATAGTATTCTTCATCTTCCAGTCACCATCAAAGGAAACTGGTCCGGTTGATAAATTTGTTGTCATTAGGTAAGTATTTTGGAGATCCACAGAAATAAAACAGATTTTCTGATATCTTATGTTTTTTCCTCATTTTCTCTCTGTATAACTATAAACTGTGGTCCTTTTTAAGAGAGATTTCTGATTATTTTGAGAGACATACCAAGCTTCTTGTGCTTGAAGAAAAGACAGTGAACTTGAAGAAGAAACCAGATAAGTGGATGTAGTATACCAGAAGTTTCAAATGCTCCATTTTATTGTAAAGCACAAAGTAAATAATTATGCCAAGAGTGATCCATCCAGCAGTGACATCATTGTACCAGTGAGTGCCAACACTCTGCATGACATTTCTCTTTCCGAGGAATTATTTCTGAGATTTAAATATTAACATTTTCCAACTACAGAAGGCAACAGAACACATTAGATATTATATGACTAGATTTCACTGCTTGCTTACATCTGATCTGGAAGCCAGCTCTCTTTGATCTTATCCAGATGGTCCTCTCAATTTCTAAATTACTGTGCCTGTGACACATTATGGTGCTTCTGCTTAGACATGTATTTTATACCCTTCATATTATTAAAAGTAATAAAATGAAATGTAGAAGAAGGCTTAAAGATAAATAAACTTTTCTTTAGTCAAATAGACTATTCTTAAACTGGTGAATATGGCTGTTCAGCTCTTTTGAAAAGACTAAGTTGCATTTCAGACTCCATTCCAATTGTTGGATGAGATCTGTGTTGTTGTGTTTTGATTTTGTTTTGTCAGTATATGTTGGTGACTATTTCAGAGAGTTGCCTCTGGAATATTTTCTTGTGTGTATGCATCCATATTTAAGAAAAATTCATTGTGTTCACCATGCATGGATTTTTTTTTCCCCTAAAAAATGTAGGACCAATTTCCTCCTGCTGGTGTAAATCAGTGTTATTCCTGTACAACTGACTGAGCTGCTGCAAGTCGGGAAAATAAGCAAATAGGTGACTCTCAAGGCTATACAATGAACCT